TAGAAAAGACAGCAATACAACATATTAGTATTAAAATCTGCTGATGTAGTTTAGTTCCTGTTCTATTTTCTACTTACTGTTTATACAGCCTGCCTCCTACAAATTAAAAGACGCTATTAGGAGGCTTAGAAAAAAAGTGGCTCCAAAGCTGGTTTAAAATAACTTTTTACTGCCCAGGATATTTTTTGTCTTTTGCTTTTTTTTGTTTTTATGTTCTTTTTAGTAACTATAAATTCAAGCTCAGAGCAGCCTGTCTTTGTGTTGGAAAACAGAACTTCTGCTAACCTGCTCTTGTTCTGAGACAGGAGCTGCACTTCCGGAGTCAAATTTCTACGTGGACAACACAACTGCTGCTCACGGTGCTACGGGAGGTGACAGCTTTGCTGACAAAACTAATCTGCTGGTGGTGCTTGAGGAAAAGAAGCCCTTGCAAATTTCTAAACAACAAGAAACTGTCAGGAAACTTCTAAAGTGTCTTACAGGCCAGAAAGGGAAAGAGGTTAGTAAAATGCCTCAACAGAGTTTGAATAAAATACTGATTTGAGAGTTACTGGAACTGGAGATGTAAAAATAGGGTGGCAGGTTGGGTCATGCTTCCGATGGTCTCAAGTTCAGATAAACTACGTGACAGTACACCACTTCGCAGGCCAGGTGCGCTCCAGCAGCTTCAATCTTGGGAAAGTTACTTGATATTTCTAAAGCCCCAGCTTCATCAAAATAATAGATTTCTTCATAATAATTTGAACTCATTAGGTTGTGAGAATTAAATAAACTTTGTTTAGTTTAGCAGTTGGCATACAGTAGACAATACATATTTTAAAGTATTATTTATGCTTTATTGTTATATGAGACTCTTGGGCATTTTTCAATACAGGAAAGGGTCAGTGAAAAGGGGAAGATCTATCTGATAGTCTCAGAGGAGATAGAGCAGAGAGGGATTTCAGTAGTAGAGAGTCAGCTTTGTAACAGAGGAAACATACTTCTTGCTGGAGAGGAGGAAAAGTGAAAGAATGGCAGCTGACATGAAGTTTTAAGGTCTAGGGATAGGAACTTGAGGATCTTGTAAAGTGACCACCATCTTTTTAGCAATGTTAGTTGTGAAAGATTTATGAAGATGAAGAAGAAAAAGCATGTTTTGAATTTTTAAGGCTAAGTGCGGAGAAGTCTAAAACAGCTCCTGGGAGAATATTTTTTTAAAAAAGAATAATTAGGGAATTACTGTTCGATAGTGTTGAGTTCGTTTTGGAAAATGGAAAAATGTTCTGGAAACAGATGGTGGAGATGGTTGCAAAACAGTCTGAATATACTGAATGCCACAGAACTGTATGCTTAAAAATGGTTGAAATGCTAAGTTTCACATTATGTATGTTTTTCCACAATTTGAAAAATAAAAATGGAAGAAGTAGAAAGATGGGAATTTGTAAGCAGGAGAATCCCAGTGTTCCCTAGCTTAGGGATAGAGATAAGCTGGTACTAATGGTAGTTAGGATGTGGTTTCTGCGTGATATGTTGAGAATTATTAGTCAGAGAGGCAGGAATTGGCATCACCAAGGATGACTACAGCAGAGGCAATGATGCAAAGCCAGTCAGGGTAGTTGATAACCAGAGCGGAAAGTCATTAGCATTAATTGGGTCTTGAGCTGGGTTAGAAAGGGAAGTAGGCAAGATTGGGCACATTTGGGGTATGGCCTAGACAGAAGAGGAAGTAGAAAATGATAAGTATGTAAATTCCTCTACTGGCATTGGGAAATAGGCAAATAAGAAAAGTGAGTGGTTGTATTTGAATACAATGATATTACCAAGAGAAAGTCACATTTTAGATTATAAACAGAGGGGCCGGGGACTTAGCTCAGTGGTTCTGCCGCCTGCCTCACAAGCGCAAGGTCCCGAGTTTGATCCCTGGTACCAAAAAA